CCCCCCCCCCCCCCCCCCCGTCCCGTCCTGCTTCAAAGGCACCGTACCCCCCGCCGACCCGTTTGGTACTTCAATAGCATGCCTCGCTTCTTTCTTCGTCTACCTTGACAGACATGGCGACCCGTTCCTTCTTTAATTTACCGTTTGATGAATGTTATGCCGATATCATTCACCACCGCGGCGGTGCCAGCCAAAGTGGCGATCCGTTCAGTTTGGCAGTTTGTACTGCTGAAGGGACGTGTCCCCTGTTACATCACGTACATTTCGTTCTGTCTCGTACCGATTGAAGATGTGCCCGGCTGTGTGTCGATGGTTTCTGTGTCTTTTCGCAACGTTGTCCTGTCAACGGTCCATTTGTGCCTTTGGCCCCCCGCCCCAGTCAACACGGGCGGTTAGGTTGATTCTTGATACCGCGTGTGATTCTGGGTTTGTCATCAAGCAAGTGGTCGTTGTGTCCCACCGTTTAGTTGGTCTTGCAGGGCGAAGCGTCAGGTGGGGGTGATGCCTGCATTGGGGGAGTGCCTACAGCGACGTCACGGGGACGGGCGGTTGAGGTCCGCGGAGGCGGGGAGAGGGACCAGGAGATGCCGTCGGCAACATCGGCATCGGGGTTTTCCTCGACCCCAACGAGCTGTGGACGAGCTGGTGATACCTTGCAACGATCCCCAGACGACAGGGGAGAGCGACAGCGGTGGGGTGGCAACCTGTGCGAGTGAGGTTTACGACGTGGGGAGCACAGGTAAGCATTAGAGCGGAGGAGCGGGGGCGGCGGCGTCGGCGGCGTCGGTGGCGGAGGCCGAACCCGAGGGGGAGCCGAAGGAGGCGAGCCCTGCCCTCGTAGCCGCGCTGATGGAGTCATGTGAGCGTGACCGCGAAGAGTCCAACGGACAGGTCTGATAGAATGACAGGTCTGATCAGAGCAGGGCTCGCCTCCTTCGGCTCCCCCTCGGGTTCGGCCTCCGCCACCAACGCCACCGACGCCGCCGCCGCCGCCGTCCCCAACCCACTGCTGTAATATGTTACAAAGATGCATGTACCCCAGCTGGCTGCTACCCGACTTGAGGGCATACAACGGCACTGTAGGTAGGTAACCTGTAGAGGACCGAGAGAGCAGCCAGCGCATCTCTGGGTAGGGCATGCCCCGGCAAACGAACCGATGTGTGGAAATCAAGCAGCATTTTGTCGGCAGGTGTTTGGTTCTTCAGTCGAGTGGTGCTGCTATCGTGCGCGCAAAGGATGTCGTTGTTCCCCGACTTGATCTACTCTCACCAGCATCGCTTTGCATCGCGTCATTTGCATGGCACTTCGGACAAAGCCGGAGATGAGAGCAAGAGAAGCGATGAAAGCTGCTGGTTCTTTTGTGACATGTGTCGCCATACGGAGATGGAAGGTGTGCGGCTGCGGGGTAACACGTCGGAAACCGGGGACACCAAATGTTGTTCTGTACGTCGGACATGCACTCATACCGAGGTCGATAGACGCCCGTGATAAGCAGCAGCAGGCACGTATGAACGAATCGGAAACAAAACCACATCAACCGAAACCAACAGCAGCATCCACGCCAAGCCTCAAAGCCCTCTCTCTCTCTCTCATGGGAAGCGTTGTTCTTCTTCAGCCTCTCTCGTAACACACCTGCGTCGACAGCGGAAGCCTTGTTCTGTTCCTCGAGTTCCGTGATTTTGGCCCTGGCCTTACGAATGTACGCCTTCAGCTGGTCGTTGCTGAGGCCCTTCTTTCCTGCGCCATCGGATGGTGCGGCCGCTTCTCCTGAACTTTCTGCGGTCATTGTTGGAGGGAACACAGCAGACGTGTACGTGCGGTGCTCGTTATGTGTTTGGTGTGTTGGGTGCGGTGCAAATTGCAATAGGAGTGCTGGAGGGGCTCCGCAGCTGCCGAACCTGGTTCGCGCGGCGTGTTTTTATACCGCGGGAGTTGGGGTTGCTTTGTTTCGCGACGGGAGCCAACCCAAGCCAAAACCCAAGCCAACCAACACACGCCAACGCTGGCTAACGAAGGCGCAGAAAGGCAGCAGGCAGCCCGTGGCGATGAGAAGGTGCAGGAAAGCATTGCACGTTGTGCAAGCGGCGCTCAAGGGCTAGGTTTCTCGCTGTTGGATAAGGGCTTGTGGCTGCCACGTATTGATGACCCTCCAGGCAACTTGTGAGAAAAAACAATAATGACGACACACGTAGAAGATTACATACAGTAGCAGTAGACCCCTTTCCGCGTCACATCATGCGTCTCGAGAACCGGCGCAGAAGATAGACGCGCATTCACGACGGCAGCGCGGGAAACCCTTGTCTCATGGGCGTCCGAAAGTGCCTGTATCTTTCTACTGATCTGCTGTCGGGGCGGTGAAGATCTACATACTGTAGGGATCCAAAACGACGAGCGAGCACCGATCGCGATGAAAAATGAGATCTCATGGAACCCGCCGGAGTGTGGTGGCTATGACCTGCCATCGGAGGCTGGTTATTTCCTTTGGTGGGATGTAGCGAGGAATGCCAAGCGTGACCGAGCGAACTCAGTCAAGCTTATGTAGAAGGGTGATGCGGAGTGTGGGCGAGCCTTGCTTCGTGGACTCATTTTCCCAGCCTCTCAAGGATTCATCAACCATTCGCAGCTGTTGGGAATCAGAAGAGTAACCAACCGTTGGAAAGAACAGTGATCTGTATAGTAGAAGAGTAACGAACCCTTGCGAAGAACAAAGATCAATTATCACGTATCCCTCGGACCCTACTCTGAGGTGTACGTGTGCCTGTGGTTCCTGAATCTCCATATCCTGACCTCCACATAGCCCCGCTTTTCCTTCGCCGAAAGCTCAGCTTGTTGAAGTTGGGTTTTGGCGCGCATTCATGTTTGTTGGGGAGCAGGTAGGATGTTTCATTGATGCAATCCTCCACAATCTAATTGTTTTGATAGACCAGAGCGGGTATCTGGGCGCATCCCCCTTCACCAGGCGACCGACGCTCCTACGGGGTGCTACATCTCGGCGAGGCAAACCCTTTCTCTCCTCTCGAAGAAGGTCTTCTCCGCGGCGTATGCATATGCGTAAGAACTCCCAACGCCAGTATAATTTCTCCCAGCAGCCATCCGCAGGATCACCAGTCTAAGCAGGCTGTCTAAAGTCTACAAATAAATTGGTGTTTGCACGAATGACGCGTTGGTGTACAAACGCGCCCGAGAGATGGTTCGGGGAGGTCTCCCCCGCTCTAAAATGTACCCGTTCAGGACGGACTCCATGCAGTGAAAACGGACTCCCCTCTCACCATCTTTCCTGACCTAACCTGGAGAACATAAGACCTAACCTGGAGTACGACACGACTCGACATGATGGTGCTACGCCCGTGAGATCGGCACGCACACCGATATGCAAGACTGCATCCGACGACACATTACCGACAGGAGTACGTGTGCGTCCGAGGGCGGCGACGGCGGCGACAAAGTTTTCATGAAAAACCTCACCGTATTCTCAATTGGAATTCGTTTAGAGCAGCAACTTAATTGGCCCAACGCCGCCATAGGGTTATTTCCCGGTAAATTCGCAGTAAACCATGCTACGCGTTCCGAGCACACGCAAGGTTTATTTCCTTGGGTGAAGTACATATCCTGGCCCTCATGTCGCGCAACAGGAGCACACATAGAGCGAGACTTTCCCTTCCCCAAAGAACGCTCAGGTACATGCTTTATGGATCCAGACGGTCGACGAGTAGGATCAGATGATACGTCTCCCAGTTGCTTGTCTCTCACGCAGGAGCCACAGCTGCACCAAACCCCCGGCAAGCCCCGTAAGCCCCATCAAGTTGATGCTGGCAACGTACGACACAGAGACAGACAGACAGGCAGAGCGGAGTGGAGCAGGTCGGGTAGGCACTAAGACACGTCATCATGTACGAGAACAAAACAGGTGTGATAACTCTTGCCCCTAGATATCGAAGCAGAGAGAGGCAACGACACACACGCTCGTATCTTGCTGACAAAACAGCGATACCAAACAGCTGTAGCAAACCGCGGCAGCAAACCGCCGCAGCTGCGCAGCACCTCATGTCGTGTGAACCACTATAACAACAACAACAACTCCCGGCTGTAGCAGCCCGTGTGCGCTGTACATACAGCGGTACCTGGTGAGGTCGGCGGCGATCAAAGGCAGGGCGTTTATCGCCAGCGCCGCGAGCACTTCCGACGCTCGCTGAGGCGTGGAACCCCGCCCGCCCCAGAGGAACCGCGCCAGGAAGGCGTGGGACGGGACGGAAACCGCGAGCAGGGCCAAGTTCCACAGAGGCTGGTTCCGGGTGGTGCAGTTTTTCCACACGTCGTGTCGTGTCGTGGCATCCCGAGCAAAAAACGTTGCCGCGCGATGTCGGGGAGGGAGGAGAGAGCAGGGGGTGCGCGGAAAGGGGAGAGGAGGGGTTCGGGGCTGTCAAGCGCTGGATCGATAGGGTAGGCTTATGCTGAGGTTTAGGGTTTGGGATACGAGAGGGGTCAGGGCGTAGAGTAGGAATCAGGGTCAGAGTCAAAGGGTTAGCATCAGGATCTGGTCTTAAGGGTTAGGAACAGGGGTAGGGTCTGGGCTTAGGGTGCGGTATGGGAGAGGCGACCCCGAACAAAAATGAAGGGGGGGGAGGGAGGGGTGGTAGCGATATGCCCTTCAGGTATGACCACGGATTCACCGCCGAACCTAGAGCTAGAGTCAGGGCAATGGGTAGGGTATTGAGAGGCGACGCGGAAGACACGAGGGGATGAGGACAGATAGGCCGTAGGGTACAGGCAAGGGTTCGGATTCTAGGTGGCGCGGAACGAAGGCAGGAGGGGGCGGCGAGAGACTTCCATTGCACGACCAAAAACAGCGGGGATAGAGAGGCCATTTTTCAACACTACCAAGTCCTGGCTGTGTGGTGAATATTGCCAATGGCTGGATGGAAGCGGGATGAAGCGCGAGACAAGCCCCGCGGTCGTCACCGACCGTACCAACTAAGCGGGAGGCTTTCGTAGTGAGGGTTTTTATGACATAATCGGAAGTTCGTTTCTGACACGTGTTGTTTCCTTCGTGCCTTGTGGCACGGCGTATGAAGCCTGCGGCGACGGAAACCCGCCTGCTGGCGACGGGATGAGCACGACACATTGTGCTGGGGTAGAGGTCAGGATGCGCCTAAAAAAATGTCAAGACGACCACACGACGGGAAGGATACAGATACAACAACACATCAACAACCACAAAAACAGCAACGACAAGAGCAACACCAACAACACCACTAACAACAACACCAACAACAACAACACCTTACAACAACGCCAATAAACCACGCGCCAGCAGCCCCGATCGCTCTCCCGTCACGGGCGACTCGTAAGCCTTAGTTTTGTTTCTCACCTGCCAAGGGGAATCCGCCGTCCAAAAGCTGACGGCCCGAAGCGCTACCGCCGCCTCCCCATGCCTGCGGCTGTCCGCCGCCCCGTAGGCGCCGTGGAAGTGGTGCAGCACCCCCCTGTACACGCCCAGGGCTGGTCGCAAGAGCCCCCCCCCCAACAAGCTCATCAGGGAAAACGACGACCGCGGTGCTCCTGCTAGCGAAGATCCCTGGTGGTGCATGCCGGAAGAGGGCAACAGCGGTGCTCTGAGGGCTAAGGAGGGGTGCGGGGGATGGTTGTGCCGATAGTCTTACCACTGGGCACGGGAGGTTGGGTCATTCCACGATCAGCACACGGAGCCCTGGGCGCGCAACCGCGCCGGGTGTAGATGCGCGGTTTCGACGCGAAAACAAGAGAATAACAAGGCACTCACTATCACAACAACGCCGGCAACGACGACGACAAACGACCACAACAACAACAACAACAACAACAACAACAACAACAAGTACCACCACCACCAACAGCCGTAAAGCACCTTCAAGAGAATGTAGAAGGCCGCAGACCCGGCCCACGTCGCCGACAGTGCGCCCGCGGGGACGGCGGCCCCGAACCCCGTGTCGCCGCGGAGAATTCTTCCATCCTCTTGCAGCAGGAGCAGCAGGGCGCAGCACGGGATCGCGGCCAGGGCCCTCGCGCTCTCCCCCGGGAGGTGCCTCCAGCAGCAGAAGAACGCACCGACGGCGGAGAAAATGGCGGAGGCGTTTCCCATGGAAGGGATCCATCGTGCCTGCTCGAAAACGTCCAGGGACGGGAGGGGGGGGGGTAAGCATAGCCGTGCATGCTGTAGTCGTTAGATCATTGACCTCACATCCCTACAAAGGCGGGAGGGGGGGGGTAGGAAGAGTGTTGTGGAGGCGTTTCCTGCTAAGGGGATCCATCGTGCCTGCTCGAACGAATCACACTATCGTATAGAATCCTCCACGGATTCTCCATACGGATTCTTACTTTTGCTCACATGGATTGGCATTTCTCAGCACACACGGACCCCACAGCAGTCACCACTAGCTTCAAAGACGCCTACAGGTGTGGTGCGTACAGCCTTCAAGTTTTGGTGACGATCCGACCATCATGGGGGGAGAACTCTGTGGTGATGTGGTGAAAGGTCTGTCTCTTGGTCGAATCCATGGCAAATCCGGGGGGGGTGGGTATGCCAGTCCCAAAAAACCCGTCGGGCCAACTTTCGGTTGACATAAGAGTCAGCCTTATACTGAGACAACGCCTGCTGTGAGTGTCAGGCGTGCCACCGGTCGAGCTGACCCACTAGGAAAGGCACGCGCCCGTTCGACAACAACGCCCACCGAACACTACGCCACTAATATTCTCCACACACACGCCACCACCACCACCACCGACAAGTTTCCGTCGTCGCACCTCCCCAAAGGCCCGAGACACGGAGGCCGGCCCCTGCACCCCTCGCCTCCGACCAAAACCTGCCCCCGCTCCTCGGCCGTCGCCGCCGCCGCCGCCCCCGCTACCACCAGCACCGCCGGTGCGTTCCTCGAGCAGCTTGAGGGCGACGGTGATGACAGCGTGACCGGTCGCCGCGGTCGCGAGCGCGAAACTGGCGGCGCCTTGCGCGTTCGTGCCCTCGCCGCCGCCGCCGCCGCCGCCGTCGTTGTGCCCGGTAGGCGGCGCAAGACCCATGAGGTTTCTCCCCACCGGACCCAGGATCAGCAGCTGCAGCCCCTGTTGTGTTTGGTGTCCCGACGAGTTCGGCAGAGACAGAAGGGGCGGGGGGGGGGAAGGAGATTCACACAAGGCATGCGCTTGTTGCCAGTTGTTCGGGATGTTTGTAAATTTGTTCGGTCGATTATTTTATCCCGTGCCTTTGGGGAAACTCTGCAGCGTCATTCATTCCCTTCGCTCTTTTCGCCGAAATTTGCACCGCTGTGCCTGCTTCACGTGCAACTTATGGCGGCCCACAAACTGGCCCGTGCGTTGTACAACGTCCTCGCACCCACAACAAAAAACACGGAACAACAACGTGGCCAAACAAATTATCCCCTAACTCGCCTGAGCGATCCCGGCCGCCGGCATGAAAGCCACCACAGCCACGTACAGCTCGACCACCACGCTCCCCACCCTCCGCGCCCTCCCCACTGCGGGGCCCCCGCCACCGGCCCTTGACCCCGAGCCGCGACGCGACAGCACCGCCGCCGGCCTGGGCAGGGCCGCTTCCAGCAGGACCATCAGGGCGCAGGAGTAGGTGCCCGCGGCCCCTAGCGCGGACCAGGAGACGATGGCGGCGGCGGCGCCGGGCATGGAGGCGAGGGCGGACCAGATGCCCACGGGGACGCCGACGGCGACGGCGAACGCCGCTTTTCTCGCCAGGGTTCTGCTTGGTGTAAGGATGGGGGCAAGGGGGGGGGGGAGTGAAAATGTACCCACGGGGACCCCGATCGCGAAGAAGGCGAAACGTCTTGTCACAGAGTCTCGGTGTTAGGAAGGTGCAACGGTGGGTTGGACTAGGCCTCTTTGGAGCTCACAGGTCAAGGTGCCGCCTTCTAGGGTAGATATCTCAATCGTGATCAACTCTTTCAGCCAGCATAGCGGCAGCGGTATCACCAGCACTAGCAGGGGGTAGAAGAACTAATAATAGCAGCGACACCAGTCAGTCGCGCCACACCCACTTGGTTGGCGAAGTTAGCCCCGTCAGCGTCAACACGCCGACCCCGGCAACGGCGACGCCGCAGGCCTGCTCGACGTACTCTCTCCGCGATTTCCACGATCGACCGACGCCGCCATGTTCACCCTCGACCACACCGCTCAGGGCAGAGGGCTGCAACACGAGCAACGCCATGGAAGTCACAAGCAATGCGGCTCCCGACCTCCGAGCCTAGAACGGGCAGGCGTTGGGAACAGCGCGCCGTGGGTATCTAAGCGATAAACGTGCTGGAAACAACAAGCACTCTCGAAGTCCCCCGACCGTGACATCATCAAGTCGACAAGGTGTGAAATGGGCAGAAAGATACCAAACAAAACACCACCCCGGATGAGAAGCCCGAGTCAACCGAAACTCGTCCAATGCGGCAAAAACGCGAAACTAAACGGTATGGAACGGACAGAATTTCGAGGGAAAAAAACGCGGCCTAACGGTACCTTAGCGCGGGAGGCTTGCTGCCTACAGCTGCCTACCCCCGCCTAAGCGGAGATGTGAGCCAAACGATAAAAAAAGTCGACCGTTGAGACCAAGAAATGACGACGATGACGACGACGACGACGACACAGCAGCATCGTTGGGAATACATCATGTTTACACTACATTCCTTGCAAGATTGTTGTCGTCGCGTGACATTATGTTTTGGTGTACACGCACGTGGGGTCAACCGTTTTGTGAGAGACAAAAAAGAATAAACTAACCACGCGGGAGTCCGGGAAGTGCCTCGACACCACGGCCAGGGCGTACAGTGCAAGAACCACGCCGCAGAAAGCGAGCGAGTGGGCCGGGGAATCGACCAAGGAGGCGCTAGCGCTTGCGACGTGGCGTCCGCCCGACAGCAGCTCCCTCAAGAGGGGTGAGATCACGGGGCGGGAGCAGATGTACAGGGCGCTCGCCATGAAGAACACGCAGAGGCCTCCCTGTTACAGGAAGCAGGGGCGGGAGGAGGGGTACTCACGTAAACGCATGCCGTAGTCGTTAGATCATGGACTTCGCACCCCTACAATGCGTTCCCCATGAAGAACACGCAGAGGCCTCCCCTGTTACACGACGCGAGAGATCAGGGAAGGATTGGGGGTTCCGGAGTGGTAAAACCAACCTGGGGGGGGGGAGGGACAAGGAGAAGAGGTTGCGTGCCCCCCTCATGAGAGCCGCCTATTCTCAACGCTTCTACGGGGAATACTTGACAATTCTTATTCTTTGTCCGCCGCTACTGCATACCGTTGTCTGAGTCGGGCTTCCTGGGTTAACCTGTTTCGGTTACAGTTCATCGCATCGCTGCCTTGAGAATCTGGTTGTCTGAGCTCGCACTGCTGCTTCACGAAGGTTCGTCACAACGAACACCACTCACTGCGTGTCTTACAGGGTTGGTTGGCTAAACCATTAGTCTTCTGAGAGAAGTTCACGATCCGTCACTACAAAACCCAAACAAGGGTACCCCCCCCCCCCCCCCCCCCAAAATACCTTTTGCGAGGCTGGTTGAAACTCTTGGTCCAAGCTACGGACCAATACCCCGCGGGTAGCTTCGAACCCTTGGGGAATTGAAAACCCGGTCCGGGGAAAAACCCGGGGGCCCCCCCCCCGGCTTTTAGGGAAGGGAGGTCAAAGTGCTAAA